ACCAGCGTGCCGGACTGCGAGCCATTTATTGTCGGATTTGTCGGACTGATACGTGCTCCGTCAATAAACACACACACTTTTCTGCAGATTCAGTCCGATGTAGTAATATTGTAATATTCGAGTTGTAGCAAACAATAATTCTTAAAATGAATAAAGAATTTATAACCGAATTCATTGAAGTGTATAGGCAGCATCCAGCGTTATGGAAAATAAAATCGTCGGAATACATAAACAAAAATTTTTTTTAGATAAGGTTTTAATTGGCGTAAAAGATGATCAAAAGTATTGGCATCCATTCTCAGATAATTTTTATAGTCGTGGGGTTCATTATTGCGTAATTCTTTCAAAAGCTTTAGGTCGCTGTATTTATCTCTTTTGCCATACTGAACGCTCTCTCTTTTGTTCTTTTTATTATTACTATTATTTATACACATTTCGGAGTAAATTAGCGCACTTGCAATAGCAAACTTCTTTTTCTTTTTTTCAACGCTGCACATGTTAACACGCTTACTAGAGATTATGAAGTGCCTTTGTCTTTGGCATGGCTCCTGGCCTTTTAAAATTTTCATGGAGCCACGAGCCATGTGGATTCGACGGATAAATCGTCATATTTGTCCCATATACACAGAGATTTGCATGTGACGAGCATTCCGGCGGAAAGTTCGAACGATTTGCCTCTGTGTGTGTTGTCTCGGTCGTAAAACGGTTCGCCACGAGTAAATCCGCGGATTTACTCGTGGCGAGCTTATCCGCGCGTAAAAGTGTGTGTCTATTCCCAGCTATTAGCGTACAAGTGCGGGGTTTGAGATTCGCGACGTTCCGTAAGATCACACATCAAAGTGCTAGTGTGCGCGCCAATATCGGAATCTTGCGATAGTGGCATCCTGGAAACCGCAGTTTGTTCGAGGGAAGTGTTACCACCGAGGCGCAGCGTCAGGCACGAGATTATCATCTTCATCACCATCAAAGAGGTAGGCCTAGAAATCCTACGACAGATTTGTGAACGGGTTCGTGCGCACCACCTTCTCTGACTAAGTGACTCGATTAGTAACTTCGCGTCTGTAGATTGTTTTTTTCTACTGCCGTTATTGTCCGTTTTTTGTAGGGTTCAGGGTGTCCTCATTTGTATATTATATTGTAGTGTTAGGTATATCGAGTAATATAATGTAAATCGAATTAGAGTTGTTCTTAAGTATTACCATTGAATTGTGGTTTTTATTCAATGGGATTACCCATTAGCCCACTGGTCCTGAGAAAGGGAGATATCCGCTCGTGCAGAGCTAGTAATCCGGTGCATTACGGTAGGTACTTTACCGCCCAAATAACTAATTTCGATTAAAAAGCGACACGCCAATTCAGGGTGTTGCACTTTGGAAATACGACACCATTCGCGAACTTTTATGAAATTCCTTTCTCGTGCAAAAAAATTCACGACGGCTTACAGCTTACCTATCAAAATTTATTTTTAAATTATACAGGTCTATATTCACGACGTATATTTTTTACTATGGGACATCATCTGTAATTTGTTTTCTAATTAATAGTCCGTTTTATATGCCGTGGTTGTTTTTATGTTAAAAAGCTTTTAATGCCCGAAAACTGAAATTTCCGCACAATGTTCCGTTGTTATATTTTATCTGGAACGCGATCTGCAACACTATGCATATTTTATATCACAACTTTTACATGGACAATCTTAAATTATACTCCTCCACAAGCATAAAACTTAATCACTTTCTAAACATCACTTGAATTTTGTTGACTAAATCAAGTTGGTAGTTTGACGTTTGTCATTTTGACATTCATCGCAAGGCGAATTCCTGTTTTCAAAAATGGACAGAGAGAATGATAATGGAGAGAAAAATGTTATTGCTGCTCCTTCTGAAATAACGCAAGCGGCAACAGAATTCTCGTAGAAAAAGTATAGTAGGTACCTATGTATAACGCGTTTTATAAACTTCTCTAGACACTCGTTATTAAACACTCGCTAAGCTCGTGTTTAACATAAACTCGTGTCTAAAGTGTCGTTTATAAAACATACATAATACTCGTATACGATTAGAACACACCGAAAAACACCTGTACACTATTAACAAAGAACCATATGCATTTTTTCTGAAAAGTTCCTAAAGATATAAGTCTCTGGGCCAAATGAAGCCGTTTGTATTAGATAGATTTTGTCTTTTTATGAACTTGGCCACGATGATTTAGATTTAGTTCGGTTCGAATTCCTAGTAAAACATATAAATAGAAATCATGTAAGAGATGTGTGAATGGGATCTATTTTATGTCATCGCTATGTAAAATGGCAAATGGTCACTAAACCACCCACATAAACACCTGTCCAGCTAGCTCAATTAAACTCAGGTACTAACAAAACCAAATAAAGCTGATAAATAGTCACTCAGGGCCAGATGACAAATACCATGCACACTTCTTCCTGTCACTTGTTGACCTGAGATGCTGACTTTCAGATCTGTTCACAACCTGAAAACAAAACCATCAGATGCAAAAGTAAAACAAAAACACCAATAACTTTTTACTTTTGCAAGTTCAACAGCCACAAGTAGTACCAGTGCTTCCAAAACCATTACATCCAGTGTACCAATCAGATTCTGAAAAACATCATACCACACTGACGGACTGTGTACCGGAAGTGGTTGTTTCATACATAGAAAAGCAAAACTCAGCGTTTCCTGGCAAACCATATTAACCGTTAAAATTGCAGCTGCCAGCTGAAATATTATATCGCAGCTCCCGTCAATCCGTTGCTCGATCGATGCCATCTTGAAGTACCTGACATCCTACAGTTCAAGAGGCGATACCATAGTGCCACAGAACACAATAAAACCCATCCAGAGTTACCAACATAATTTTGATGATATTTTATTATATTATATTATTATTGTGAAAATAAATTAAATTTGTGCATTTATAATTTTATTTAGAATCTTGGAGTAGCGACTGCAGCTACCCGTTTGCCTACCGAAAACTCCCTACAGTTTTATTTACCTTAATAAAGTTTCATAATGTTTAATATACGGTGAACTGCGATACTTTTTAAACAGAAGTAGATGGTGTTTGACATTTCAGTGTGTTACTTTTCGTCCCTCGTCCCTCTCTCTTAAATTGAAGACAAAAAACATTGACTTAGTCCACGGAGTAGGTACAAAAAAGTGTATGTTTAACCTTTTACCCTTAGTCGAGGGCCAAATAGGTCACACCCCAAACGAATTATATCATGATATAGATGAATATTTGATCAATGTTGTACTTACGGATGCACCTCAAATCCCATGTCACCACATTAAAATATTGTTGTATAGGTAAACAACGCCAGGCGGATGTTCTATTTGGCTTCGACACCTACAGTAATGATGGGTCATCCTGTATGTCTAAGTTCAATTTTTCTGTTAACATTATATGTGCGGTTATGGGTTGGAATGGAACGCAATGCCGATCATTTGATTTCGATGTCGATATTGTTTTGTATCAAAATAAGTAGTTGTTAATATTATTTAAATAACTGCCTTGTTTATTTTGTTTATTTGATTGTAGAGAAATTGCGTGTTGTAAGATTAGATTTACAGATTTGGAAATTATTTGTGTAGTACCTATTTGTTTTTGGGCACTTATGGTTCGAGCTTTTATTCGCGAAAATGAAAGTTTTCGAGTTTAGTATAACACGCTCGGAGCTTTTTACAAATAAATTTGCAAAAATGCGCTAAAAAAACTGATCTAGGATACCAGCGGGGTAGCCATCACCAGTCACTAGTCCAGGTTAATATGTGGTCGTAATCAATATGGAAAGTTTCGCGTAAAAATTAATCGATCAAGGGAATTTACCTTAAGTGAAGTTCGATTGTAATTATACGAGGGTCCAGTCCGAAGATATCATGTAATTTTACTATGTAGTACGCCCCTGGATACTCGCCGCGCACCAAGTTTAAAGATGAAAACCTCTCCCTTCCCGATCGCCTCTATCCGACAACGTACCCTCTTTTCATTAAGTTGAAAGTACCTTTCTCGCAACTATCGCACCCTGGGGTAGGGTGGGTGGGAGTGATATCTTCGGACTGGATCCTCGTATAATTACGATCGAACATCACTTAATGTGGTGTTTGATCGATTAATTATAGTTCGGGTTTAGTCCGAAGATATTTAATATGCTCTAAATTTCAATAGGTATACGTAAGAGTTAACTAACTGACATACCTACTTAGGTCAGTAAAATTAAGTATGACTTAGGTCTAACATTGTTTTTTCAAATAATCCGAATTTAGCGGACGGTTGTAAAACCGCGCAAAAGTTGATTTCTGAGACCATCCAACTGTTTTATATATTAAATCTGGTGAGATCCCTGCGCGTCGGACGTCCGACGTTGAGGCGTGTCTCGTGGAATGTGATTTGTATATATTTATGTCCACTCCACTATCCTCAAGCATCTGTTTTAACCATCTGCTTAGGGTATCTTTGGTCACGGTATAGAATGTGGTTTCTTAAGCGACAGGAATAGAAAATCGCTATCCGATCTTCTGTATAAACCATGGGTTCTGGTGATGTACTCCTTAAGTGTACTAGTCCAAATTAAAGACAATGTTTGTATTTCCCCTTTAGTCAGGGCTAACAAAGTAGGGTAAACTCGGGTTAGTCCGTGATACGAGTAACTCCGTGATAGTTTGTATTTATGCTTCCACGGAGTTACCGATAGAGTATAGTGGGTTGCCTATTAGCATGAAATGTAGTCCAACAAACGACGATTCTTTTGTTATATTATACGTCTGTTTCGAGCGCTGGAGACCACTTTTATGTGAAATTTAGTTTAGTTAAGTGCATTTTTCCTTGATTTTTGAGGGCTGCGTAACCGAGGTATGTTATTAAATTTATAACTAAGAAAGTACTTATTATAGGAAGTTGTAAATTGGCAGTGTTACAGCTTAGATAGCCGGCTATCAAGATATAACCTCAAAACTTTCATTATCGAAAGGCACTTTTTGATACGAGCTTATGAAGCGGTTTGATTTTCTTACGTTTTTGATTCCTAATTTTTTTAACAGCATCATTGTATGTAGCAAATATGCTTAGTAATTATCGTAATTTTGCATGTTTCAAGTGACCATGTGTTATTCAATGCAGATGTTAGATGTAGGGCCGTATTAAGGGGCCCGAGTTCTCGGGGGGGGGGGGGAACTTTAAGGCCCCACTGCTTTTAATGATTTTTTTGAACTTAGTTATTTTTTGTTTTGTTCAGATGTCAAAGCCTAAAAACAAGAAAAAGAAAAAATTGAACGAAGAGACGTTTCAAAAAGAAATGGTGCCCAGTGGATTGAGTGTACCTTTTGTTTAATATGGTACCACTGTCAGTGCCAATACGTAGAGGAATCAGTTGCTTTTATGTGTGATGCATGTGCAGCAGGAAGTGCCTCTGATTAGCTTCCCTATTACGTAAAGAAGCTTAAAAGTGATATCACGGAGTTACCAACACTGTATCACGGAGTAACCTGATATATCACGGAATTACCAATAGTAATTATTAACAAGCATTTTTATTGTTAATAATGGATAATGAGAATTATATGCTTTTTTTGTCAGTTGTATATGTACGCGAATATTGTTTTGTGTGAAATAAACGTTTAGTTTAATTTTACCTTTAAAAGACCAAGTCAAATTATAAACAAAACAAAATTTATCACGGAGTTACCCGAGCCTACCCTAACTTACTTCTGAGAAAGGGTTTTTAAGTTCTGCGGATTCGTAAACTTCTCGATGTAGTTCAGCACGGGGGATGGATTCCAGGTCGTCTTATATTGGCCTTTGTGGTCGATTCTAAACAGTCCTTTTTTAAACCACTTAATTAGCGGGTTAGAGCAAAAGTCTGTAACGCATAGAAAGGAATGAGCGAGATATGCGAATTACAATATCCGTAATTAAATTGGTAGTACCTACTGCTAATTCCTGGAGAAAGGATAAA